TCTCGATTAAACTTCAAATTTTAGGAGAATGGTTGATTTATTAAAACACATTCAAAACTTTCGGCTTTCATTCTTAAATTTGCTTATTTGAAATGGCTGGAGTCTTGCATTCTGTTCCAGCCTCCGTTTTATTTGCCACGGGCGCTTCAGCTGCGATTGTTTTATTGCGGTTTTATTGGATCATAATTTATGTTTCATAGTTATCAGCATAAATTGCTATAATCTTCTTATTTATTTAAATAAGCTATAAAACCCATGTACCAATTAATCTAAATCAACTTCTTAATATTGTAAGAGATTCTTAGATCAGTAATTAAACGTTGTAGTAATTAAAAGTGCTATATATAACGCGGATTTCTTAAGCGAGTAGCGCAGGAAGAGATTATCTAAGAATTAATATAAGAGAACAAGTATTTGCAAAATATGACATATAAAATAGTTTATGCATTATTGAAAATTATTGAAATTCATTTATATAACAAATTAATATTTATAGGGCGGGGTACAAAGATCCAACTTGACTTTGTAAGAAAACCATACCAATTATATCTCAAAAAATAACACATATCAAACAAACAATTACATGATTATCTTCAGTAAAATTCCCAGCTAATTTCATCATTGTGGAAATGTGTTTTTTTACTGTTTTTCAAAAATTTGTCACGTGATCCTTTATACCCCATAGGCGGGGTAAAATGGGCCAGGAGGCAAACAGGTCCAATGTCTTATTTTTAATTTTAAAAAGATTTTATGAAATAATAGCTACATTATTCAACCAATGCGATATATAAATTTTATGGGTACATTTTTTCAGACATAACACTGTATATAAACTTGATCTGGTATTTTGTCAGAAATATTCATCAGCAGAGTTGGAATAACTATTTATTTAATTTACCTCTTGTTACAAGAGTCTTATAACATTATTTTTTTTGCTTAACTTTTTTTTATTTACTGTTTTCATTGTTTACTCTTTTGCCAGGGTAAAGGTTCAGTTGCTGCATTTTTACCCACGTAACAATACGTCTTATCAAGCAATTCATTAACGTGTGCTTAAAAATTATATTAAGGTTTCGTAAACTAAACAACAGCGCTCACATTTAAAAGAAATTAACAACAAAAGAAAATGCTTTTGTTATAGATTCTCAAACATTGCCGTTTATCTCCCAATAGCAACGTCGTAAGAATCAAAATGATGGCTGGATGTACAACATTTGCCCTCTATTTTAAAATATTGCTGTTAACATAATTCCTAACTTTACTTGTTTTTGAGATATCGGTGGTAGATTTTTTCACCCGCGGACCTTCAAGTCCCGCTCTACCTTACTTATATAACATAATTCAACACAGATCGAAGATAGTTTCCAGTGTTTCTATTCAAAAAGAAATAAATAGAAAATTAAACAAATTAAACATTAAAAATGTATTCAATTAATGCATAATAAACTATCAATCAATCTAGGAAAAAATATAACGGGTGTGTTCAAAAAAATTATCGGCTTTTATTTGCCAAAAATTGGCTCAATTGTTTTCAAGATAAAATATTTTTTGTAGCAGTTCGTAACTCTGCTGCCAGAATCGTTAAAAATTATAAGCACATAGCTTTGAATATAATTTAGAGGTTAAAATTGGTTTTCGAAGATTTAAATTGTCAACTAGTAAATTGCAATTTCAGTTGAAATTGTATTTTTCTTTAAAAAATTCTTAGATGCGTGAGGTTAAAAATTCATTGAAAAAGAAACTGAAAGACTCGAACTCAAAACAACGAAACTTCGAAACTCTAAGAACGCGGAGTGAAAATTAGAACCATTCACAACGACGAATCTTCGAAACAACGCAAAATCGAAAATTCTTTTTGTTTTTCTTAGAAATCACTTTTATCAATATTTCTAACTAATGTAGTTTGCGTTTTTCTACTGCGTTCTTTTTAAGATAAGTTTTAATAAAAAAAGTTTTTGATATAAGTGGATAAAGCATCTATGGATAAATCCCGTCCTGCTTATGAATTCCTGTCAGATTTTGGATTATTTTCAAAATATTAGTAATCGCAATCATAGTGGACACATACCTATTTACAAACACTATTGAATGATTTTCTTTGAAATCACTTCTATCAATAATTTTGTTTTGTTGTACTATTCTTTCGACATCTTTCACATTTATCTCACCTACACCGGGTAGTTTTGCTAATTCCACTATTTTAGGAAAGCGCCAATAATAAGAATGTAACTGTTTCGTAATATAGTTTAGGGATATTTGCTCTTTTTTGGCAATATTTTAAAAATAAATTGACTTCAAATTATTTTATCTCTCGTTAGTAAATTATTAGTGATATAAAGTTCATGTTTTACTAAAAGTTTTCAATTGACTACTCTTAAGATAAAATATATTTTATAATTTACAACCTCTGTCATGCAAAATGACGTGCAAGAAAATGAGGTTTGAAATGTATGGCGAAACTGAATTTGCAAGTGATGTTTATAAAAGTGATCAAATAAGTAATATATATCAGTTATCTCAAAGTCTCGCCACTTTTAATAATATGATAATATTAAGCTTCACTGTGCGTCATTACATTTTCGAAGTTGCGTTGTTTTGGATTCGAGTTTTTCTTTTAAACTTTCCTATTATTAGGGTAAGTTATAGTAATCGCAAAAATAAAATATTTTTCATATCTTTACGTTTTAAAAGTCTTCTGAACATTTAGGCATATCTTAAAAAAAGCCGATGTACGTGAGAGAGCATGTATCAGCCGATTTCAAGGATTCAAAAAGCATTCTACACCTATTGCTTGATGGCTGAGTAGTTTTTAACAAAGGCAGGTCCAGCCGTATAGAAGATACGCAGCAAAAAGCACAAAAAACGGCAATTCAGTTTTTGAGAAACCGAGGCGTCCGATTTATATAATTCAGAAAACATTTTACTTACAATTAGTAAAGAAATGACTAAATTTTTAAGCAGGCCCAGCGGTTGCGGAGATGCAGAAGAGAAAAGTTTAAAAAATGCTATTCAATTGACATATGCACATCAAATTATCAGATATTTTATAAAGATTTTAATAATAAGTATAATATTTGTTTTCATTTTTATAGATTCCGTACCAAAAATAAAAATGTTTACAGTTCACTTATAAAATTATATATAGATCATACAAACGTCCTTAGCTTTTTTTGTATGGTTTGACCGACTTGAATGAGCTTCAAAATTTTTAAGAACTCTCAGGATTTTCGTCAAATTCGATCGATTCAAGTTCGTCGATTTTTTTAAGGAATTTCAATTTTTTTAAAAAAAAATCAAATTTTACAAAAAATTTGAATCTTTTGAAAATATTTTATTGTAGATTTTCAAAAATTAATTTTTCTAAAGTTTTCATAAAGTTTAAAACTTAAAAATGTAAAAATACGGTACGGAAATATCCAGCGTTCTCAGCGTCAGTTTGATTTAAGGAATAATTTCATGCACCACCAATTTTTTTAGAGTAAGTTATAATAATCTCAAAAAATTCGAAAATGAAAAGCTTTCTGAAAAAAATATATATTTGCTTTTCAAAGGATTGTGAAAATTTTGGCTTATCTTAGAAAATAATGGATGTATGTGTGCGTGTGTGTATGTATGTGCGGACACAATTTTTCGTCGACGATTTTGAGAACACGGATCAACTGATTTAAATAACTTACTAATGTTTATTTGTTAGACTACGACACGGCGCTTACTCAAAAATTTCAAAACTTAAAAAAGAATTTTTTTTTCAAGGTTTTCAATAAAATTTGAAGCTTTTTTATTTTAAAAATTTTGAATTTTGGCACGGAAAGTTCCAGCAATTTGCCATAGGCACGGTGCCATACACCATTAGTTGCGGACTCTTTTCAGTACCGGTTGCGCCATCTATGAGAGTATTAACACATTACCATATTAAGATTGAGCAGAGCAAAGATGGCAACCAAATGAGCCGAGTTTGAACACTATATGTTTGACATTGAAATAGAAAATCAACCTCGACAATATAATAATCAACCTCGTATCCAGGGCCTTTTCACTCAGTGCAAAATCCTCGTTCAAAAACCGTGTTTCGTGGTATCCATCAAGGTGAGAATTTGGCGCTAGTGCGCCGATACCAAGTGACAGGTTGATAATTCTTTAGCTGTCTCTAGCATTAAGCGGCCATTTTGATCGGGATTGTTATTGTAAGGGTTATTGTGTTTGTGACTGTTCTGTTAAAGGGTGTTGTATATAATTGTTTATAAGGTTTGTTGTTTATACAAAAAGTATGACTCTTAAATGCAGAAGAAGTGTAGTGTATATAATAGAAAGTTTAGAATTTATGTAATACATAATGTAGTGTGCTGTGTATTACGCTTGATAAAACGGAAGGTGCGATTAATTCATTAAAAGCATTATCATTATATTAAAAGCTTCAGACAGGGCCTTATGCTAGTCTAGCTTGAATGAAGATATCATAACTTATATGTAATGTGAATACTCAAGACTGTATTTTAATTCATTTTGTTATCATTAGATATCGTATTTCTGAATCATGTATTATAATTTGTTAATGACATATGACTGTATTTCACTAACATTATTGTAGTAACAAGTTAGAGTCCAATAAAAATTGTTATGATAATGTGTGATTTATATTTAAACCTGTAGTCATATTTGTTTTTTCTTCTTTTATTGATTTGATTTGACCCCAGCATATATCATAATATATACTCTTGATTGAAATATTCTTATTATTACTTAATATATTTTTAATTTATAATTATATTTTCGCAAATTTTAATACAATTACGATGCAAAATTAAAATTCTAATTATTTTTAAAATTATTTTTTTTTATTGATAGTACAATATTTTTAAAGTACAAATATTTTTATTTCAAATTTTAGCGCTTCAATTTGAATGGCGATTGGGAGGCGATTGAAGCGCCATTGCAATATAGCGATCGTAGCAATAACTAATTTTTTTGAACCTCAATATCGCTAGAATGAAACGTCTATATTATTATATTGTCTAGGCTCGTATCTTGTAATGTCAAAACTCTAAATAAAAAATAAATAAGATTAAAAATCGTTTGATAAGATAACATCTTCAATTCAATTATGTAAATTCATGTGATGTCAGCCAGTCGTAAAATAATGGCCGAATTTGATGTAAAATTAGGCTTAAAATTAATTAAAGAAAGATTTGAAAATGCTTGTGAAAGACGAGCAGAGGTCAGTAGATTTACACCAAGTAATTTATGTTAAATATCATTGTTGTTGTTATGAACATTATTAATATTATTATTGTAAAAGTAACATATCAGTTAGTTATCATACTTTTTGTAGACAATCACAAGTCTGCTTGGATCGTGCAGTTTTGATTTTATTCAGAAATTATATATCACTATAATAATATTACCATGAATAATAGTACCAATAATAATACCATGAATAATATTTACCTAATTATGACCAACAATGTTATTTCAATGCATTATTCACAGATCATGTTACTGATATTTGCAATAGAGCACATCAATCTTTAGGTTTGATACTAAGAAATTGTAAACAATTTAAGTCTACCAATGCACTTCTTTGCATGTACTATTCTATTGTACGTTCAAAATTAGAATACGGTTCGATTATTTGGTATCCTCATCATATCAACAACTCTGATGCGATAGAGAAGGTTCAGCGAAAATTTCTGAAATACCTTTATTATAAAACATATAAAATTTACCCTGAATGTGGCTTTGACCACAACACTTTACTAAAAGAATTTGGTATTCCTTCCCTTGCCTCACGTCGATTTATCTGTACAATTATGTTCTTATTTAAGCTTTGCAATAATTCTATAGACTGTCCTCTTATTCTCAATCAACTATCCTTTAATGTTCCAAGGCTATCTTCGCGTTCACAATTATTTTTCAATTATCCTACCGCTAAATCTAATTCTCTCTTAAATTCGCCAATTTTACTAATGTCCTCTAAATTTAACTTAATTAATAATGAAATAGACATTCACAACACTTCACCTAATCAAATAATCTCCATCTGCACAAGTTAATCTTTTTATTTTCTTTCAAATATCTCATTATTTTCTGTTTATAAATATTATTGTTACATTCTGCATTATATGAAATTTTATCTTAGCATTTTATGTTACTAACTATATATTATAATTTTGTATATATTTTAATTGTTATTCATTATGTCAAATAATTGTATTTTTGAGTCCTCTTGGAGAAATCTGTGGGCTATATATTTTAATAAATAAATAAATAAATAAATAAATAATTATTTCAATTCAGGAATACAAATATGCAAAGCCGACTTTAGTAGCAGTGAGCAAAACTAAACCCATAGAATCTGTTATCACTGCTTACGAATGCGGCCAAAGGCACTTTGGGGAAAATTATGTACAGGAATTGGAAGAAAAAGGCCACAACAAAGATATTTTAGAACATTGTAAAGAAATAAAATGGCATTTTATAGGTCATCTTCAAAGAAATAAAATTAATAAGGTGATTGTATAATTTAGTAGCTATACTTTATATTGAGCTATATATTTAAAAAAAATTACTACAATTTTAAGTATTGATATTATTATAGTAAATGTATCGAATAGAATCTGAACTAAAACTTTATTTAGCACTAATGTATTATTTTTTCCTGGCAAAATAGTAAAAAATCCTGACAAATGACAATTGTTGCATGAGAATAATTGTTATGTTCATTATTTTCTTTTAATACTGAAGTATTTAATAGGTTTGCAAAGTCAATTGTATTCTTAATTCAAATTCAATGACATAATCATTTTTTTGTTTAAGGAGGTGTTCTAGTGTAGAAATACCAAAAACTTTTTTTTTTTCATTAAGAATATGTGTATGAGAGGATTTTTTAAAATTTCAATTACTTTTGGAGATATAGCTATTTGACCATGACAACGCTCATCTGTTTTCTTCCTCTTGTGAAACTTTAAACACGCTTTTTCAAAACTATCTTTTGCCATATGATGTCCACGATTTCTTGAGTTTTACTGAACCGTTTCAATTGAAAATTTCAGAGTATCTTCTTAATAGACTTCTCTCTGGCATATACTAGAGATCATCCCCCAATAAATTTTTTTTACTATTTTTAGAAAATTGAGAAACTTATCAAATTTGGAAGCAAATGATCTTTTTTAAATGCCATTTTACCAAAAAAAAAATTTTTAACTTAATTCTAGTAAATGTCATTGGGACATGATTATAAATTATTTTTTTTTTTTAATTTTGTATTACCAGGAGGGTTGCAATCGAGGACATGGTGACTTGCCAATTTTTAGTGACTACCCTCTTCAACAACTGCTAATTTTTAAAATTATTTTAAAAAATTAACATGTTGATAAATGAATTATAAAAAAATACCAGTAAAAAAATGTATTGCCTTTTTTATGATGATTTAAAAATGAGCTAAAATTTATGCCTCTACACGAGAATACTCCCTTGATTGGATATATCAAAACATACAATATTCTTCGATTACAATTTACTTTTATTTTTTTAATAGAAAAAAAAAAATCCTGAAGTTATTAATCAAAGCTTATTATTTTTAAAACACTATATTTTAGTAGAAAGTTTATAGAATAAAAAACATTCAAATTTTAAGTTATAATTATAATTCATTCTATAATATAGAATTTGCAAAACATATGATTGATTGATCTTCTATTGAATGTATTGTTTTTCAATTATACGTTTTACAAATTCAATAATATGCAATGAATTATAATTACATATAACTAAATAAATGATAAAAAAAATTTTAGAATAATACAAGAATATATTAAATTTAAAGCTTATTGTTATATTTGAGTATTTTTTATTTTATAAAGGTTCTACTAATACAGTGTTTTTGAGATCATAACCTTCTATTAATAACATCAAGTAGAGGTAATGTTCTTATTATAATAAAAGAATTTGATAAAGAAGTGATAAATAAAATGCTAATTAATGCCTATGCTTTAATAAGGCTTTTATATTTATATAATTTTTAATATGGCTTGAAAACTAATATATTTTTATTGATCAGTATAGGTGGTTAACATACCTGGGATATATATGGTCGAAACAATTCACTCATTTAAATTAGCCGACAGTGTGCAGAATGCTTGGTCAAAATTAGATTCAGCTAATAAAATTCATGGTGATAAATTAAGAGTTATGATTCAAATAAATACAAGTGGTGAAATAGGTAATAATTAGTTTGTTATGTATATTATTCTTTAAATATATTGATTGTCATTTTATTTAAATATTACAAAGCTTACCTTATATTATGCAACTTCATTATTGCTACCTGCATAGATACATAGTAGTTCTATGTAATTGAACTACTGGTATGTTTTTCATAATTGAACATAGAAAACAAGTTGTGAAATGTTGTTTTTTTAAACTTTGATGCTATACTTATAATAGTATGTAGTTTAATTTGAAATATTTAAGATTATATGATATTTCTGAATTACATTTTTGACAAATTGTCACTTTGCAGAAAAACATGGTGTTCACCCAAATGAAGCAACAACTCTATACAAATATGTGAAAGAAAATTGCCCAAACCTACTTGTTGATGGTTTAATGACTATTGGAAAATATGGCTATGATACAAGTTTAGGACCCAACCCAGATTTTCTCACTTTAAAACAATGTCGTGAGCAATTATGCAAGGAATTAAATTTAGAACCAAAAGAAGTTAATTTATCTATGGGAATGTCTGATGACTTTGAACAAGCGGTAAGAGTATATAGTTTCATTGATAAATATTAGTAATATTGCTTTTGGCTTGCTGGGAATCACAAAATGTGAACTGTCGAAAGATGAGCAATGATTTTGCCATTATTGCTATTGATAAGAGTTTGATATCATTTATCATATTGACAATTGTTTGGTATTATTAAGCATATTTTGCATTATATTTTTCACCTCATCTGGATTGTTGTATTTTTACTTATTCTTTGTGCTAATGGCACCTAGAATAATAAAATAACTTCACTCGTACATAATGAAAGAATTTAAATTACCTGTTTTTAAACTAATATGGTTTTTATTTATATTGTCCTGAAATTATGGTATTAAATTAATATAAGTATATATTGATATTGTTCTGAAATCTGTTCAAATCTGTGTTTCAATGTTTATGGTATCGATTTGGATCAGTTAGACCACTTAAGCTGGTCGAAGTGTATGCTTACATAGAAACAAATTAATTTAAATTAAAAAAAAAACTAAGATATACATTTATAATTTAATCATCTAAAAATTTTGTTTTGATTTAACTTTGTTTACTTGTGGTTTATTTCTGTTTAGGTATTATTTACAAATTAATGATTTTGTCTTCGTGAGTGAAAAGGATTTGACAATGCTAATGTTAAAACATATTTGTCTGTGAATTAAAACATTCATTTCTATAATTTCATTTCTTGTCCTTAACATTTCAAACAAATTTTATTCTGGTATTATAACTTCATGTGCATATACCTATCTCCTGCTTTTCATAGAAGATAGTTTCCATAAAAAAACATGTAACTCGAAAACTCTTAGAAAAACCGTACTTAACAAAAATCATTATAAAGCCCTTTTTGCCAGTTTTTAATATAATCGAACACACATTGAACAAAAATGAATTACTAATACATTTAATATTAATTAATTTAATAAATATAATATTCATTTATTTCTATAATAAAACAAATTAAAAAAAAAACTTATTTCAAATATTGCATTTTCTTTATACATAGATTAAAATTAGAATAAGAAAATTTAAGTTAATTGCTACAATTAAAAACGAATTTTAAAAAAGCTCTTAGTATTGTTATTTCAAACAAACAAGCTTATACATACATAAAATTTAATTTTGGTTTTTAAACAGGGAGTTTCTCTCTTATTCACATATTTTTATCATAGACATAAAATATTAATAATTGAATACTAATAAGGAATTTGTAGTGTTGTATTTTGACACTAAAATGTTATTCTAGATATAAGCGAATTATAGTTTAGTATTTGTAATTTACGGTAAATGCAAAATTAATAAATTTCGTTAAAAAATAAATATTAACAAAAACCATATAAGATCGAAAACGTATAAAACGAATACCATGTAAATCGGGGGATAGGTTTCATGACCTTTAATGTGCTTTGGTTTAATATAAATTACTAATTTCTTTGATAAGTTTTTTACTAATCTTTTTACATTCCGATAGTTTTTATACATAAAACCACACCTATACATTTTATTTTTTTTACGGCTTACTTTTATTTTTGTTTTTGTGTCACCATCTACCAAACTCCCACAATGATAATAAATAGCTTCTATTCAATTTGATTCAATGCTTTATTTAAAAAATATATATGTTTTTAGATTGAAATGGGCAGCAATATTGTTCGTGTAGGAACTGCAATATTTGGGTACAGACCCAAGAAAAATGAAAGTTAGTTTTAACTCGCTGTAGTAAATGCAATTACTTCTAAAACAAATGTTCTATGATATATTTTTGGAAATAAAATAAGTCAAGATGTGATAATCTGCAAGTGTATTAAATATTACAATGTAACATTTTCTTCAACTTTGACGTTTCAATTTAACGAAGGGCCTATAATAACCTGAGAAAAAAGATAATGATACAACTTTTTGTTGGTTTGATACTCTAAACAAATTATTTTTTTAAATATATGAATCAAATGTAATTTTGTTTCGTATATTTAACAATTGTGTCGAGTTGTACTCATAAATGTGCAAAATATAACTTTTTATGTGGGTAAAAATTTAGCTATAAGAACTAAGCTATTAAATATGTCAAATAACTAATAATGTTATATCCTCTGCTGAATCATATTTATTTGTGTATTTAATTATCAAAGGGATTATACAATAATTTGTTCCAAAACATTTTTAAAGGTTATTTTCTATTTTTTGCCTGTAAAATAATTAGAAATTGGATTTGAGATTTATAGCTAATCATATGTCTTCCAAGCATTTATTAACTAGTTAAACTAATTAAAAATTGTTGTGTATAAATTGAAATAATAATATGTTATGTGAAAATATTTTGTTTTGTTTGTTGCTAAAATAATAAATAGATTTATTGAATTTTATTTTTTTATTAATAAAGTAATATACACAATATAATAATTACATTTACATATTAAAGTATTAAAATACTTAAACCATACAATTTAATAATAATCCTACTTAAAATCTAATAATGATCTAAACAAATTTTAATATAAATAGATTGGTTTATTTTTCAAACAAAATTTAAGGTCATGGCAAGTTATAACAACATATTTTAGAGACCCCATGTTTTACTGACAAATACGAATTTTTGAAAAAAATGTATTAACTTAAATATCTCCTAACCAAAAAAAAAACAATTTCAGGGTATAAGAAAAAATAAAATTAACAAAAATCTTAAATTACTTATTAGATGATTTTACCCAGTAAAATCACAGTCGATTGAATTGGTTGGCGTGTTTAATATTTTCTTACGAAAAAGAAAATATTAAACATGACTTCATATGCTTTTATTTATATATACATACATATATATTTATTTAATACACAATCTCACTAAATTCGTTCCTTATAATTAAACAATTGTCTTATGTTCAACTTCACAATCTCGCAATCATATTTAACATTTTCTCAACAAATTACTAATCCAGAAAGGATAAGAAAGATAACTCATGCACTCTATTTTTCTGCCAACTACTTAACCTCTTTTGAATTTTAATACGAGCATTGTTATTACTAAGAATAACACAATCCATATTAATGTAGATATGAAACCATTATATACATCAGGTTCAAATATACTCCAGCCTCTGGTCAACATGGAACGAAGGGAAGTTGTTGCCATTGTTAATGGAAGTCCGAGAGATATATACCTAAAAAGAATATTTAATATAATAAAGGCAAATTATGATGTTAAAGATTGGTTTATACAAATGCAATACAACAGGCAAATTTTTAAAAATTAAGCGGATGAATAGGAAGAAATTATATTAACATGTATGATACATAATTAACACATAATGCAAATTTCTTATTGTTTATACCTTAGTACTAGTGGCATTCCTTCAATGGGCCAAATTACTCCGCTCAAGAGAAGAGTTGGGTAGAAAGATCCTAGAGCTAATTGAATGGCATTTCTTTCGAGTTCGCAGATAGCTGATATAACAAAACCGAAGCACATTCCACATAAGCCTGAAAATATAATATATATAGATATTGAATGCAATTTGAACTATGATTTCAATTATTAATCAAAGATTCTTTTTATTTTTTTATCTCATATTTTATTCAATAATAGCAATTTTATTATTAAATATTTTATTTTGTTATATATTAATTCTATTCTCATTGGCATTGACAATATTACATATAAAAGATCGTTTTATAAAATTAGAGATAAAATAAGAAAAATTACCTTGTAAAATGGTGAGGACGACCACCCATCCGATGTCACCATTGCATGTAACCCCGAAGACAAGTATCATGAAAATAAGAACTAATGCAGTTTGTCCACACATCACCACGAATTGCGTAACAACATGAGAAAATAGAATTTCACCGGGAGAAACTCCGGCTACCCAGGAACGATCCAATAATCCTTCCATTCGTTCTATGATCAGCGCTGATGATGTTAGCGCCACAGCCAAGAAGAACACGATACTGAGGACAGAATAAAGTATTAAATTATTGTGATAATTCTTGTTACAAATTAATCATCAGGATATTATTACGCTTACGTCAATATAACACCAGGTGCAACGAAGTCGGTGAAGGAAGGATCCATAGTTCCGTATACCGGGTCTTTGAATTGTATAGGTACATCAGCTAATTTTGGATTCTGATCACAAGTATCAAGGAGAGTTTGAGCAAATTCACGGTATGCTAACTGCAAATCTCGATTGAGCATTATGCCTATCTGCTGATTAGACATGTCAAGCCAAACTCGGATTTCTGATTGATCAAGAGTTTCTTCATCAGCATCTCGACCTAGAAATTGATCATTAAATTTATAATAGGATTATCATTACCAATAAAGATACAAGACGAAAATTGAGTTTTGTATGGCTGGATATATTGTAGTTTAATTGAACTGACCTAAAATCATTCTGGCAACAAGGGCATCCGTGAAGTTCTCAGTAAAATACAGAGCGCCCCAGGCATTGCCCGTCTCCACTGCTTGAAGAGCAGACTCTGTATCTGGATAATACTCTTTCACTATACTTGTATTTAGATGTGATAGATATCGACATGATAAATTTGTAAAACTGCATGAATCCGCAAAAGGACATTCCTGATGATAAAGAGAAGTTGTTTTGTATTAATTTTAAACTTTGTCGTCATAAATTTCATTTCATCATTTAGATAAAATGATCTAAACGTTGAAATAGATATCTGAATTTATCTTGAAACTTACCATAGTAGTAAAATTCATTTCACTATTAACGACAGCCATTCGTAGTCCTGTAGGATCTCGACCGATAGCCAAACAGAACAATATTACTTGCATAACTGGTAAGGCAAAAATAAACAACATCACACCAACATTACGCCACATCCTCAAGAAATTCTTTTGTAGTAAAGCTCTGATCTTTCCTCGAGACGTGACCTGGATGAGTATAATAAATTAGTAAAATGATTTAATAATAATAATAATAATAATAAATATTACTAATGTTTTGATGACAGTAGTGAATTATTACCTGAAAGCAGTCTGAGCAGTCCCCGCAATCATCACAATCAACTGATAAATCAGATGCACCAACAGTTTTTCCGTTCACCTGTAATATTTAGCAGTGGTATAAGTATTATGATATGTATTCTTATTGGAGTTGAAAGAACTCTGTACGTAAAATATATTTATATTTGTATTCTACTTTATCCACAAAATATATGCACCTAATAATATGTTATTGCACCAAAAAAATCGTTTCAGTTGAGATATGGTGTACTTTGTCGTGTATAAATAGATACTTCGAATACTACTTCGGAGATTTAGAAAATTTTGCAACTATGTCATTTTTACTATGTCTAAAATACTAATTTTTAGCAAGTATTTCACTAATGTGTTTTTATAACAAATGGCCATTTTACATTTCGTCTTCGACGTTGCTGTTATAAATAAACAACATATTGCTTAAATATTTTTTTTTGATTTGAACATAATCCTTGTAGCTTTATATTATATTTAACTTATTTGCAAAAAGTGTTTTATGCAATTTAATTTGATCCAATTACTAATTATATAATTCTTTTCGTATACATAATTTTCTAGTTTGCAATTCAAAAAGTAACGCGCCGCAGAATAGTTCACTATTCATAATATTTTTACATTTGTAATAATTGTCAGATTACTAGTAGGTAGCTTATTTTTATAAATAAGAGAAAATGACTAATATTCAATAAACAGATTCATAATTAAAATGAATTAATAAATTCTCGTTCCGAGCAACTACAAGGTCGATATTATAATTTGATAATTTTATAAAAAATATAGTGTACTCTTAGGATCCGGTACACTTTTAGGTAATAATGAATTTCATCTCACATCGATTGTCGATCCATTGCTATCAGAGATCAGAATTTCTTTACTCTGATGGAAATTCAATCCGACCACTCCGCTCTCCTGGCTCACGTACACAGGCTGGTCGCGTTTGTTGCCCCAGGCCAGAGACGCCAACGAAATGTTGTTTCTGTAATAGAATAATCATATATTAACAATTAAATCATACGCATAACTTTAAAAATAATTATTTTGCAACTGATTAATTTGGTGATTTTAATATGAAAACAATAAAAAGTATGCACGTGCTGGAGCTTTGTTTTTAGACAGCTTAATAATGACACGGTTTTAATTTTTAAAACTTTATTTTGTGTTTTTTATATATTTTATTCAATAAATATATGCTTTACTTTAGACTATTATATTTCAATAACTCAAATGTTTGGCACTGTTATTTTTTTTAATAATTCCAACCGTTTGATGTGTTCTAAATAAATATCTAGATTGATCTATCCTAGAAGATTCATAGACATTATGCTGGTAGTGCAAAATTATTGTTGTTTTCATAGCACCCTGACCGCAGATAATCAAATAAATATGTTTGTATTTAGAATGTCTTGGAGACCGGGGTTCTACGGAGGGTTTCAAAATGTAATTCATTTATTAAAGTAAGAGGTTTTGTTTGCCAATTCGGCACTTGTCCAAATATTATTGGAATATGGTTCAAATCAATAATAAGATTACCAAGATGGAGACTAAAATAATTAACAGAATACTGAATGTGAAATTTTAGAACTAGGCGAATTTGAGAACCAACGAAGGAATACTATATGCTTTCTACCGAAAACATTTAATCAAAGAGTTTTTGTAAAATGATATTTTTCATACATGTATGTACAGATATATTGATCAAGAAACGATCGATTTTTACGAGTTTAGGGTTGAAAATTTGCACATAATTTTTTTTTTTTTTTTTTTATAATTTTTATTTTCAATAGCAATCAGAATACATGACTATTCTATGAGCTACTTGGCTTATGTCATTCACTCACACACATACACACACACTTGCAAACACACATATAAATTTATCGGATCAATATTACAATCATATTTAGAGAATCACTTCAATAAATGATTCAATTATTCTGTTCATATTATCTAAGATTCCTCCATATTGCACATAAATAAAAACTAGGTTAAAAATTTAACGCATTCGCTGTAGACGTCATCCACATAACTACCTGTATGTATAAGCGTCGCCTATAGACGTCTTCCAATGTTATGACATTTAATACTCTGAGTTAAATTATTGAGAGTTCTAACTTGTTATTGCAAGTTTTAGTTTTAGTTTTTTTCGAAGTGTTACTCTCAATTTTCAAAAACATTTTAATTGATAATGATCGAAAATTCTCAAAAAATGTTGTGTCTGGTGCATTCAGCAGCGCTACTAGACGCTCGCTGTTTCGTACAGCAGTTTTCACCGAAAACCACTGCCGTAGAGAAAGGGTTATTGCAAAAAAACGATAATACTATCCAGCCTACCTACTATATAAAGTTTTAACTAAAATTTCTCATCCAACGTGCAATATATTTTGCTTTTTAGACATTTTTTTATAATTTCTTAACAATCTCTCGTCCACTATCATATTTGAAGTCATACTACAAAATGTCACAAGAATTAGAAAATTGGATAATATCAACGTAGTGAAATAGAATCTTAAATTAGTTTATGAAAAACATTTAAACATATTGCTTACAGGGTAAATTTGCCATGAACTGTAGTTCTCGCATAAACAATAATATGTTTTTCCAAGATTTACCAGTGACATAATGGTACATATCGTTCTCAAAACACATTACCATAGTAGACTATGCAACCGTGCGAGTCAAATTGAGGTTTTTGTATCTGCATTCGTCGTACTAGTTTTTACGGCCTCTCTCTCTTATTATATATTATATACCTACATTATACATTGTACACGTAATACTTCTACACACTCGGCAGGCTCAATTTAATACGGAAGAGACAAAAACAACTTGAACCATATTTTCGTACGACTGACATGACCGACTGAACAGAATTCGGAACGAGTTAATATGAAGTTTTTATCGAAATGATGAAGCAATATTGTAGATTAAGAGTCCAAAAATCAGTTAAGTGAAAGTGTTTGTTACTTTGCAATTTTATGGCGTCATTTTAATTCGATGCCATAATAGATGACGATGGTTATTTATACTGTGACATTTGGACGTTTCATATACAGAAACGGAAAAACTGATAGACAGGAGAATTACTGCTATGACAGATAGATAAGTAAATTGAAATGTTTGCAGTTTTAGTTGTTCACCCTTTTATGATAATCTCTAACATATTTGCTAAAAACATTTCTATTAAAAAACAACAATCTAGGAAATAAAATATAATTTTTTATGATTTTTTAGCACTCTTGTTCAGTTCACGGAACTTTAATATATCTTTGAGGATTACCTTATTCATCTGTTTTATAAGATGTTTTTTTTAAATTTAGATTCAACAGTTTTTTTATATATCCTCTATAAAAGCTTACATGTGGGTGGGGTAAAAAGTACCAACTGAACTTTTACTCTGGCAAAGTTGTAAACAATAAAAAAATGGTAAATAAAAAAGTAAATTAAGTTAACTAAAGCAATTTCACAAAAGATAAATTAAATAAATAATTACTCCGACTCTGATGATGATTACTTCTGTCGATATACCAGATCAAGGTAATATACAATATTAACTCTGTAAAATTGTACCCATGAAATATATATTTTGCATAGGTTGAATAATATTGCTATTATTTCGTATAATCACTTTAAATTCAAAAGTTAGTTATTCAAAAGATATTAGATCTGTTTGCTCTCTGGCCTTCCCATTTTACCCCGCCCATGGGGTAAAAAGGACCAGGTGACAAATTTTTGAAAAACAAATAAATACATTTCTACATTATTGAATTTAGCTAGGAGTCTTACTGACCATAGTCAGATAGTTGTTTGTTTGATAGTTGTTATTTGTTGTGATATAATTGTTATCGTTTTCACAATATAATTGCTCAAAGTTGAATTGGACCTTTATGCCGTGCCCTACCCTAATTCTATTGTTCATCTTTTTTTCGAGTTTGATTACAATTCTTTATTTTAAGTGCTGATTAAGAATTTATTTTATCAACAATTACATATTTAGTTCTTCTGCCATTAAAAAATTGTTGATAGTGAAAATTGCTCATTCTCTACTATATTGCTGGTCTGATAAGTCAGCTCAATAGCTCACTCTATAGATGAATTAATCAGAGAATTATAGATGAATTATCAGAGTTATTGAATTGCTAATTTTATTTTTGACATTTTATTACTCTAACCGTTAGTTTTGTGTAATCATTACAAAAAAATATTGACTAGATAATATTAAACTAGAATCTGGATTTTACCAAAATTTGTAGGTAAATTTAAGAGTGATTTATTTTATTTTAAACACTTAACAGAGATTTATATAATAAATATTTCAGATTTAGAAAATACTTGTTTATTTCTAATGATGTATCATATTCATTAAATAAATATATATTGATTTATCTTATTTTACATTTAAAAAATTTTTTAGCAATTGTTTTAGAACGTAACGGTGATTAAAATGTTTAAATTTTATTTAGACTATTTAAATTTTTAATTAAGAAATGTATGTATACAAATCAGTTGGCTGTTGTTGTAGTATATATACATACATGCAATTATATATACACACATATATATATATATATATATATATATATATATATATAATGTGATTTATATGCATATAAATATTACGCTAATTATGAGATCTTACTGACTTTCTACTTCATTCTAACGGGAGCAATAATATCACTGAGTGAAAATAAATATGGATACTGATTAGCAGAAATTAAAAGATTATTATGCAATTAGATGCTCTAAGTGATGAAAAATGATGTGATGATTCATAAACATTCGATCCGTATCGACGGAGTTTGGAGTTTCATAGAAACAAGCGGTAAATACGCCAGAAAAATCAGTATTTTTGGTACATCAAATTCACAGATTTCGTATACTATCTATCTAGTATCATAGATAAAAAGTTTTGGTTTCAAATTAGTATATTAGAACTTTTCTGATTAACTACTTGTGAAATTATGAAACATTTGTCAAATAATATACAATGCTTTATATTTTCATATATAACATTCTAATAAACGCTATTGAAATATCAGACCAGAGCTTTAGAACTTCTTTGCAATGATATAAATTCGTATTATTTTTATACAATATAGCGTTCCTCACGATTTATACATTCATTTCCTTTTCGTCTGTGAAATTATTAGTACAAATGTGACCAATGAGTATATTCAAATATTAGAAAAAAATTAAAAAATACTACAGAATTTTGACTATTGGTTATAATTTTCTTGTGACCAATGAGTATATTCAAATATTTAATTTTTTTTTTAAACAACTCAACATATTCAAAATATTTCAGAATGCTAAAATTTTCAAGCAAGTACCTTTCATGTAGATTTTAAATTTCAATTTTCCAACTTTTCAGTTTTATACGTCTAATATTTGTATATAACTTGGAAAGTTTCAAGAATTTGTTCTTCATTCTTAGATTTTCTAAATGATTATCTACTTACGTTATATTAACTTCTTGTGGGGCGTTACATGCTCCTTGTTTCCTCGATAATTTTAAAAAGACATCTTCCAAACTCTGGCAATGGTATATCGTCAGTAGAGCTTGTGGTGACTCCTCCGCCAGCAAACGTCCAGAACGCATCAGACCGATCTGAAAAATATAAATGACATAGTTATTTCTTAGAAAAATACTAGGTAATCCTATAAAATATTCTCACATATTATAATTTAAATATGAACAGAACAGCTCATCGGAATGGCAATGACAACTAACGAAATTAACTCATAGCGTGTGAAACTACCAGTAGTTATATTACATATACAGAATTATAAATACAGGTTGATTGATCATCCTAATAGTCTAGCAAGGAAATTGTTAGATCAAGCCCATAATGGAAATGTTAAAAAAAAATCTTTTGACTTAATTTGGTAATAAGTAAAAAATCATTTCTAGTTGTTCTATCACCATTATAAGGAGTTGCATCACTAGATGTAGTTCTGAGATTTATTTTTTATACTTTATGAACAATTTAATATTTTTTGTATATTTGCTCGAAGTTGATCATTAATGTTCAAATAAGAAGTATCACATAAATTTAAATTTCTTTATATTTAAGATAGAATGAAAAACTATAGGAATTTGTCTGGCTTGGTTTTACCGAAAATCAAATTCAGAATAAATGAATTTTGGAAAATAACGATAATAATTCGATTAAATTATCAGAATTATCTCTGACTTGTTTATCAAAATTTATCGATTAATCATATTTTTGGCGTTTGGTGCTGTATATAGGGTCCGTCAGATAACTTTATTTTTTTTTTTTTGAAAATGCTATATATAAACTACTGAATATTTTCTCAATTTAAATCCTTTCTATTTGAAAGTGCAATCCTTCTGGTTAATAATCGAAAGTAATTTCATTGAAATGGCTGTCTAACTTTTTAATGGCTGTCAAGAATTCTAAATTGCTACCAATAAAAAAAAGTTATATGGCGGACCCTTAATAATGTTATTTTAACCCTTTCCACTAGCGAATTGCGAGATTCATATGAATTTTGCCGCCAGCATCCGAGTCGAAAGGGTTAATATATAGTGCTTTCGCCAATTTTTGCCTAGGTTCAAAGTAGTCCTCTTCAGATTTGAAAGAACTTTTTGATTTATCCAAAAACTTTTCGAGAAAGCGATCATATTAAATTAGACATAATTATGAATTAGTAGCAATCAGATGTGCACTTTAATTGATAATTTAAAAAAAAATATATACACAATTTTAAGCGATCATGATTTCCCGCGAAAGCGTCCGAATTGTTCGCTAAATATAGTTTCTACAAAGTAAGTGCTCGTATGTTTATTTACGCCTATGCGATTATAATATTCGGGTTTTTCTATTTACCGTTCGAATAAATATTTCGTCGATTTACTTAAGCATAGAACACGCAATCGCGATTGTTTTCGAAAGTTATTCGGACATAATTAGAATATTTGCTTGGCCATTCGAATATGATCGGTATGCCTAATAACAATTTTATATGAAATTATTTCATTTTAAATTATACAATCAATATATCAGTTGAGTTATGAGTGAAAAGAGTATTATAATTTAAAATATAAACACACTACACATTATTCGTACTAATTTATTAAACGATGTTACAAACATCTCCAGACTACACTTTATATTTAATTAACTATAATTATTTATTAATTTTTACCTCGATGCTGAAAAATCATAGTTACGAAACGTCATAACTCTAAGATCATTTACAATTACAACAATTTTGTAATATTTACATTGAAGAAAGTATTAATGTTTGTATCTTAAAAATAGCGCAAATGCTGAAGCCAATTCTCCGATAAAATAGAAATGTTATGATAACACAATGTTACGGGTCTATATTCGTAATAGTTGGAAGTAACAAACTGTCAAAAATTCTAATCTTCAAAACGCATGAAAGTCAAATGACACTTTTATCATAAATGCATTTTTCTGGTGTCTCATTGATAACACATTCGTGAAGTTAGGTTTTGTTTGCTTAGCGTGTAATAGCACAGCAAATATATAGCTTTTTCGAGTTCGTCACTACCAATTCATACGAAGATCCATAATATAGTGTTACCACAATATTTTTTATTTTTCGGAAAATTGGCTGTGTTGTGTTTTGGTTAAATCTGCATTTAGTTTGTATGTGTTTATGTACTCTTTATGAGTGTCTGTACGATTTACTCTTTACATGCTTTTTAAAGTAAATTTGTATTAATAAAATGAATATTTTTAAATATTATATATCTCTATTATTTGTTACATATCCCATGTATACATAAAGGATTTCGAATAGTGCTAATTAAAAAGTAGACCAGACAGACGCACTAGTGGAAAATAAAAAATGAAAGATTATTTTTACTTTTTAGTACTGTAATAAATAATAATTCAGCAATTTTTGCTATAAATAGTATAGCTCACGCCAGTTTGAATAAAATCTCGCAATATTTTTTATGTCGCTTACAGTTCCGCCAAAAAGTGATCTCGGAAAATGATGAGGTAGGAAGTTGAAAATCGATATATAGCTTGTCTAAAACAAAAACTATAAGATGGACTGAAGTATATAAACCAGTAGTTGCAATAACTATTTGCAACCTTTAACATATAGGGTAGAACGGGGCTTAGAGATCCTCGGACAAAAAGGTTCACTACCGATATCTCAAAAACAATAAAGTTAAGAATTTTTTAAAAACAATATTTGAAAATACAGGGAAAGTATGTATAACCAGCTGTATGTATAACCTTGATATTTATGACGTCGCAATTAGGAGATATACGGCATTGTTAGTTTTTTGATTGTGAGTACTGTTGTTTGGTTTACGAAACCTCAATATAGTTTTTAGGTATACGGTATTTAATTGTTTCGTAAGATGTATTGTTTTATATAACCCACCTGAAAGCGTTCACTTGGGGGTAAAAAGTACCAACTGCATTGTTACCCTAGCAAAGGCGTAAACAATAAAATATTGCAAAAAAAATTAAATTTACTTTAAGGAAGTAATTTAACAAAAAAATAGTCGAAATAATGGACTTCGAACTCTGCTGATGAATCATTTTGACGAAGTACCAGATCAAGATTATATACAGTGTTATCTCTGTAAAAAATGTACCCATGAAATTTGTATTTTGTATTGGTTGAATAATAGCTGTTATTTCGTCAAATCTCATTAAAATTAAGTTATTGAAAAAGGACCAGGTGACAAATTTAAAAAAAAACTGCAAAAACAAACACATTTCTACAATGCGAATAAGGTTAGAGTTTTACTGAAAATATTCAGAAAGTTGTTTGTTTGATTGGGTTGTTTGGGTAATGATTGAAAGAGTTTCGCTACCGCTGATGTAGAGTAAGAACGGCGAAACCAATATTCGGATAATTTAACCTTTTCGTTGAATTCCCTAACTTTTCTTGAAACTTTAATATTGTGACGTTTATTTCAATCGGTTTACATCCGAGTTATTTATTAATGCAGCCGAGTTAAGTATTAATATCACTTAAAGTGAGACAATCGACCGCGAGTTGTGTATCAGCTGTTAGCTAGCGGCCGTGTAACAGCTTTCGCTTTCGCGCGAACGAATGCGGCGAATGCGTTCCTTAGCACTTTGCACGTCCACTTCTGAGGAACTAACATTGAGAACTATTTTCACAAGATTCGATTATCTCGTTATAAGATATATTGATATTGATACATAATAATATATGTAATATTTTGTATGATTCGTTTTATTTACTTCAACCGGTTAACAGTTACATATGAGTATACTCGTCATGGAGAAATGGCAGAGTTTTATGCATTAACGAGCATATTCGTCATGCGTATAAATTGTGACCAGTAATTATTTTATTTGCAATTTTTGATAAAAACAAATTATATACTCAAATTTTGAAGCCTTTGGAATATTCTATGTTATTTTTAAAGGTATAACCTATCGAAATATGGAAAAATTGAAAATTTGATTGTTTGAAAATTTCACACTAGTTGTGCCCCTTAAGGCAAATCGCATAAACTTTCCGAAAAGTGGAAATAATATACCTAATTTATAAGAATAGAGATTTAGCTATTTAGATAATTTTTAATTGCTTATTTAGAAAATAAAATGTTTGCTTTTCGTCATAAATTAATCAATGCGATTTCCAACTCTAAATATCTTTCAAAAAACTTACAGTTTATGCAATTGTATTAATTAAATTCCCTTAGGGTAAGTCATAGTAATCGCAAAAAATAGATTTTTTTGCATGTATTTACATTTCAAAGGTTTCTGAACATTTTAACATTCTTTAGAAATAATGGTGTGTATGTATATTTGAATACAATTTTTCGTCCACGATTTCAGGCGCTTCGAACAACCGATTTGAATGATTCAAAAAATATTTCACTGACTGATTCTTCATTGACTGAATGAAGAGATTTTTGGTAAGGCAGGTTCAGGGGTTTTGGAGATTCAACAAAAAAGGTAACAAAATGCCATTTGGGGGCGAAATTGATCATTAGACATATGCAAATCAAATTATCAGATATTCAGGCAGGTAGACTGTTCAAAATTAAAAAAAAAATTAAAACTTTTAAAAATAATTAATTACGATGCGATGCAATGCACCGCTAGCTTGTTAACTTCCCGTAGGGTAAGTTATTGCAATCGTCCAAAAATCGAAATTGAAAATTTTTACATTTCTCGAAGTTTTGAAGGTTTCTGAACATTTTGGCATACCTCAGAAAAAATGGATGTGTGAGTATGTGTATGTATGTATGGATACAATTTTTCGTCCACGTTTTCGGGCGCACGGATCAACCGATTTGAATGATTCAAAATACATTCGATTCCTATTGATAGGGAGATGTGTTGAAGGCAGGTCCAGCCGTTTCGGAGATACCGAGCAAAGAGTGCAAAAAATAGAAATCGAGTTTTTGAGAGATCGGAGCATCCGATTTGAATGATCCAAAAAACATTCAATTCGTAATGACGGGGAGAAGGGTGATTAGTTTTTGGCAAAAGCAGGTCCAGCGGTTTCGGAGATACAGAGCTAAAAATACAAAAAATGGCAGTTTTTGAGAGAACTAAGCGTTCGATTTGAATGATTCAAAGAACTTTCTGCTTATTTTAACAAAATAATAGCTTTTGGAAAAAAAAAATTTGTTTTGTATATAGAAAATGATTCTGATTTTAATTGTAATTTTGACTTAAGTTCTAATATACTTCAAAGAAATATTTTCAACTTTGCAATTCAGTTTATATAATTCTTATAAATATTAGACAATGTCACAATATTTATTTATAATAATCTGCTTGAAAATATTTCATATTCCTCGAACATTTCGTTACGGTACGAGAAGTTCCAGCAATTTGCCTTACGGCACGATGCCATACACACCACTAGTTTATATTTTAATTTAACCTTACAATTTATTGAGTTTTAGTATCAATTACTCTGATTGTATAACAATTGAAAAACAATTTGATTTAACTTCTGAAAATGGAAATAATATCGTGATTAGTTTAATTTTAGTTGCTGCAGAATTTATAAATTGACAAACAACACATTTATATAAAGAAACTGCGCAAGGGAGGAATTTCTGAACCTCATTTTCTCGACAGCAGATAACCTAATTGAACCGTAAGTTCAGATGGGCTATGACAAATAAATGATAAAATGAATTAGAATCTTTATAACAGTACTATTGAGCTCCGATATACTACTTTAAATGTTATTAATTATTACATTCAAATACCATTTTTACATTTTTCACTAAAGTAGATTATAGGTCAGTAAATGTAATATTTTTATTGTTCTAATTTTTATAAATGAATCAATATTTACTACGTCGTTTTAATGATTAAATTATACAAACAATGAGGATTATTTATTGAATTCTATACGTTGTGAAATTGCACTAAAACATGAATAACCAAATAATAATAAGTAAAATTGATAATGGTAGATAAAATAATCGGTTAGGGTTAAAAATAATGTGATTATTATTAATAAATATATATTTTTTTGTTACTCACCGCGTGTGCTTGTCGGGCTTCTTCGATATAATGAGTAGTAATGATGACGGTTTTGTTACCCCCTTTGGTAATATGAACCAAGTGGTTCCATATACTTTGACGTAGCAGAGGGTCTACGCCGACCGTAGGCTCGTCCAGGATTAACAACTCGGGGTCATGCATGAGGGCAACGGCGAAACTCACACGACGCTGTTGACCGCCACTGAAAATAAGCAATGAGATTGACGTTGTTATTAATTTACTTATTTAAATATTTATTTATGAGAAGTCCGTGGCAAAGATAATAAATATTACTTTAAACCCTTCTTAAGATTATTCATAACATGTAACCAAATTAAAGAGTAGGTGAGAATGGGTACGGTTGTGCCAGGGTACGGTAGTGACAGTCGTCATAACAGCTAAACTGTACTGATTTTGAGATAGTGACCAAAGAGAGAAATGTGCAGTATGATCTGTAAACCGCATTACTTTTAAAAAGTCGAAACTAAGTTTTATGTTCGATATACTACTTTGTTTGTTATTTTGCTGAAAGTTGCACATTAGTAGATATTTATTAGCAATTAGTTTTCGCTTAGATAATCTAGCTCAGTCATAATGATGATTTGTTTTCAAAAGCGTGCGTTGGGCACGGTTGTGATATGTATTTCTTGTCCTTTTCGGGTGAACATTAAACAGATTAAGAAATCTAACTGAACTAAGACAAAATACAAAAGAGAAAGAAAAAGGTAAATTCAATACAATAAAAAAAAGATTTCGCAAAAAGTTCTTGTTAACTTTGTTTAAAACATTATGTTTTGTTATATTTCATGTATAAGCTTTGTTTAAATTTTGTGTTGTGTTCATATAAGTAACAATAGATTACTAACGACAATAAATGTCGTTATTCTGGTATTTTTTATTTTTTAATCTATTTTTATGCCTACACACGAGGGACCGTTATGACACTCGCCATTTTCTTGTATGATTTGATTTTATGATGAATCCATTGTATTTAAGATAAAGCCATCATAAATAAAATAAAAATGTATTTAAGAATAGTGTTTTTGTATTTTCACGTAGACAAATGTTCTGATTACCATTTAATTTTCTTTTCTCCCAGCTTACTGGTAAATCAACAAAATTATTGTTGATAAAAAAAGTGGCACAACCGTAACCAGTTTCCCCTATCTTATTTAGAAATTCGTATTAAGTATATTTTCCAATATCATAAAAGGTAAATTATTGGCAAAGGTTAACTAAATAGAAGTGAATTCATAAGGTAAACATCTAATTTAATCGTGAAGATCTAGCTAGTTTATTTGTGACTTAATTAGTTTGAAAAAAATCAGTTAAACTTCGAATTATTTATTTAGATAATACGTTTGAGTGCTCAAAACAATGCTTTTTATCATTGAAAATGTTGTGAAAAAAAAATCATATTCATTAGTGTGATTTCTTTTTAGATAATCTGTTTCATTAATAAGATACAGAACACAAATAATCGCAACTATGTTTGTGCACTTAAATCGAAATAAATATTGAAATATTTATTTGAAAATCTTAATGAACACAAAAATATTTACTGTTCAAAATTATAAAAGACATTTTTAGTAAGCTTCGTCAGGATACAAATTTAGTACATCCAGCGATTTTGATTTTTTGATTTTGTATGCGTTAAAATTAAATAGGATTAAATATTTATTCAAAATTAGTTTTGATTTACGCTACTATTATACTTAATTTTATAATTCTGCAATTTATAATTTTGAATTTAAATATGTCAAAAATTATATTATTTAAAACAACTGTTTATTTTACTAGGTTTATTTAAATTTAGCTTGAATTTAGTATCAAATTTAAAAAAAAAAGAAAAAAAATGTAGCATCCCGTAAAATAACGTATTATCATAACATTCTTTCTATTCAGAAAACTAAGGTATTTATTTACCTAGAGATGAAATACTTTGAAATGATTATGAATACAGACGGTCTAATTCCCAAGTTACTGTATCGTTGGGGAAAGCGATGTTATAATAATAGAAAATTTACAAAATTAAATGGATACACCGGTCTACTAGAGCAAGTTCTTAATACTTCCTTCCTGGTGGACTGTAATTTATACGGAAATATAATATAAAGTAAATTATCAAAAGGAATACTAAATTATGAAAGTACCTTGATTCGTTTAATGAAAACTGAAACTTTGCTACGCTTGCAACATCATTATAAGTTTTAATTATTTCAAGCTTCGTCGATTATAATAGATAAGCAATTTTAATAAAGCTTTGAAACAACTATTGTAAAAATAATAATTAATGAGGAAACTATGACTACTACTAGCGTTTTGAGTAATTTTTTCTGGAGATTGATACGAAATAAACTAGATCGACGTTATGATGATTAACTTTAAGATAATTGCATTACTTGGATTAAAAACAAAAATCACCAACAAAGAATAATTCAAACGGAATAAATTGTTTTTGAATAAAAATTATTTGAAAACTATCAGTATACATATTATGTGAATATTGAATAACGAAATAACGAAGAGGCTGTGTTCAATACCTAAATTTGCATCGATCTAAATTTATATTTGTTTTCAAGACAGATATTATTTTGAGCACTTTTTCTGAACCAACAAGCATTTTTTTTTATTAAAAAGATGAGGTCTCATGAGTTTTTAATTTTTTAGTTTTTTATAATGTAACATATTTTTTCCCAATAATTGTTTTGGGAATCAGTCATATTAGAAATATAATATGACAAGCTATTTCTTCACAAAAAGACAATTTTTATCTCTGAAACATCAACCGGAAAAACAATTCAAAACCATTGAAGGTGTTACATCTAACATTACTTATATATATATATATATATATATATATATATATATTTATATATAGTCTCCTATTACCATGTATAAATGTTTTTGTAGGAATATGTACCGTAGTACTATATTAGTTCAAATATTTAAAATAAATAATTGCACCGTTGTTATGCCAATGACCTTCAAAGCGAATACAAAACCAGACACTAGTCAATATTTTCACATATATGGAAAATTATTTAATAAAGCATAAATACATATTAAATCAAAACCTAAATAGTTATTCAAATACTTTGAATAAATGACACAATAAAAAATACGAATCGCGGTTCTTTTATTATAAAATACAGTAAGACTCTACTTAACGTTGTTTCGTTTTGCACTCTTTTATTTTGAAATTTTAGAAAACAGCATAAAAATTATTTGTTAACAATGAGGTAGCAGTGAAATTTTCATTTATTTAATGAGATTTAAGTAAACACATTGCAAACTTTGTAGATATGGACGTAATTGTAGGAAAACTAGACTAGATGAATGTGGTAGATAACATGTTGAAAAAAATGGTTTAATAAATAACTGCATGTTCTTTTAATGATGACTTTAAGGAATTAACTGACTAATTAACTTAGCTATATTTTCGATGAAGGACAAAGAGAACATTCGATGTGCAAAAAAATTGACTTCTATATTAATTATACTATAACTGAAACGACTAACTAATTATTTGAAAATGATCTAGATTTTGAAAGCAAGGTTAAGTCTTGTAGTTGATTTATCAACTCCTAACTCAACATAAATGCAAACTAAATTAGATGCTTTCTAGAATAATATCTTATAGAAAGAATTCTATCCCATTGGTATTCTGATCGTTATCTACATAGTTAATAATAATACAAAAAAAAATTAATAGCCTTCTTGATAATAAGGCAGAAAATTAGAAACATGGTAGACTGAATGAACTGACTGGCATAGAATTTTATTTATTGTTATGAGCATATTATTTTAGCATATGCTTATATATTTTATATTCAACTCCTTTAGTTAGTTAGGTTTTACTATACATTTTTTTATAATATTACCGATTTGCGTTTTTTTTCCTTTCAAATATATACTTATAATTTTTTATATTATATGTTTATGTATATTTATATGTTTGAAGCAAAATTTTATTGCGCACGTTTATGCTTATGTAAATTATTATTTTTATGACACCATCAATTTATTAATTACTATGATTTTAGAATTAATTCTTACCTGAGATTTTTCACTAATCGGTTCTGGCTAGGTAAATCCAAGAAGTTGAGCAAAAACTGTAATCGTTCATTGATTTCGGATGTTTGCATTCCAAAAATCCATCCGAAGTACATCATAGTTTCTTTTATAGAAAATTCGCCATACAAGGCAATTTCTTGTGGCATGTAACCGACACGTTTACCTGGTACACCGGATCCTAGAATTAATAATAAAGATTTATTAGAGAATAAATTAAACATAGTTTAATGGTTAATTTTAGCGGATTGTTGATTAAGAATCCTAATGAGCAATAAATCAGGAATAATTATCCTAATGCATGTGTGTTATTCCTGAAGTGGTGTACTAATTAGATCTAAACTATCACGATGTAGCGTCATCGAAATTCTATTTATTATGATTAATATAAAACCATTTATTTATTTTTAAAGACATAAAATTCAATAAAACGAGTTTATATTTCGTCTCTAGAATAGAATTCCAATAGTATTAGATTTAACTAACAAATATAACAAACAAATAAAAACATAGTGATCAAAGTAATAAAAACGCTTTATAATAAATTTAAGCAAAACATGATGACATGATCTTATTATGTTTGAGATATTTTTAACAAAATTTCTTTGTATTTGTTGAAATTGAGGACGTTAAAAAAAATTGAACTGAAAGTAGAGAAGTTTCAAAGAAAGATTATATATGAACTGTTACAATCCGATTTTAAAGCGCCCAAAATGTAATAGATTAAAATATAATTTTTATATATTTTATTCATTAACGATAAAGAGATAAACGGTTTTTACAGTAATAACACTATTAAAAACTCGGCATAAATTCACGAGATTAGATTTAGATGTTCAGTATCTTGTTCAATTTTATGCTTTACTCATATATTAACATTGTTGTTGCAATTAAATATCGAAAAGCCAACGTAATAGAGAAAATTTTCCAGTATACATCAAGTTTTATGATTGCTACATAAATATCGAAATGAAAACAAGTTTTATTAATGTGTACTATTCGATGTGTTACATATTGAATTAACGATAAAAAATCGGTTGCTAATTATAACGTTTCTGTAAGATATCTCATTATGATAAAATAGAAGATGTTAGTAACCATTGAAAAACCGACTAATGTAAATCATTATGCCTTATGAAAAGTATCTATAAAGCAAATATCAAAATTTTCGAAATTTGTGTGCACAATATTAATTCATTTTTCAACACGCACAAAATTTCATGTGTTAAACCCTGAATCAGGCAAAAAGCTATTATCGAACTTTAAAATTAATCACCATAAACTTTTTTTAAAAATTTGACACGAATAATTGAGATTTTTGCTTGCGGTGAATGTTATAAGAATTATTTATAAAAAATCAAAACTCATGTCAACAAATGAATTCTCATTTGTTGGTACGGAGAAAAATGTATGCATATCAAAATCTGTTGGCGGTGGGTATGCTACTAAATCCACTCGCCTCCAATTATATTATTATAAAATATCTTATTAAACGAAAAAAGGTAGAAAAAAATTAAATATCTACACCAGATATCATTTTCTTTACCTTTTGTTCCTGGCTTTCCTCCCAAAACCCAAATTTCTCCAGTGTTCAGCCGCCTTCGTCCTACGATACATGATAATAAGGTAGTTTTTCCACAACCAGACGCTCCGAGTAATCCATAACTGCAAAATGAATAATATAGATGAGAATTTTTAGATAAAACTATTTTGAAAATATTATCAAAACTATTAGCAAAACTAATAATACTGATACAGCTCTAATTAACTTCCCGTAATGAAAATTTTAATATATCTTTACGTTTCAGAGGTTTCTGAATATTTTGGCATACCTTAGAAAAAATGGATGTATGTGTGTGTGTGTGCGTGTATGTATGTGTGTGCGGATACAAATTTTGGTCGACGATTTCGGGAACACGGATGAAGCAATTTGAATAATTTAAAAAACATTCGATCCGTATTGATAAGGAGACGTGCTGATTAGTTTTTGGCGGAGGTAGGTCTAGCCGTTCCGAAGATATGGAGCAAAAAGTGCCAAAAACGGTACCTCAGTTTTTAAGAGAACGGAGCGTCCGATTTTAATAATTCAAAAAACATTTTACTTGTATTGACAAGATGAAGATTTGATTAAATTTTCATAAGGGCAGGTCTAGCGATTTCGGAGATCTAACGAAAAAAGTAAAAAAAAATGCCATTTTGCGGTCAAAAATGATTATTAGACATATGCACATCAAATTATCAGATATTTTATAGAGATTTTAACAATAAGTATAAATTTTGTTTACATTCCTATGGGTTCCGTACCAATGTTTACCCGTTAGACAGCGACGCGGCGCTTACGCGCTTTATATTTTGTCTCTATGCAGTTAAAGCAGTACGATTGCTTTGAAAAAAGTTCAGATCTTCCAACATATGTCAAAATAAAGAAAACATTTTTTTTTCAAAAAAAAAACTTAAAAAAAATTTTTTTTAAAAAATTTTTTTTTTCAATTTTTTTTTTCAAAAAAAAAGTATTTTTTGTCAAATTTATAGTTTCTCAAAAATCTTATTTTTTCGAAGTAATTTTTTTTCAAAAATGTTAATCGTTTTTAAAAAAATAATAATTTTTGGTACGGGAAGTTCCAGCAATTTGCCTTAAGGCACGATGCCCTAATTGCCTTAAGACAGAATTCCACTTACAGCTAGTTATTTTCATTAATTAAATTACTCAACAAAATTAGATTTAACATCATTATTGGTTGCAACATTTCTATAAAAAAAATTTAATACGTCCTACTAAAATTTAATAGTTTGCGAAGACATACGAATTATTAGTTATTTTCAATAATGGGAAAAATAAGGAAACTAAAGTCTTGTTGTAACAGTTTTTTTTTTAATTATTATATCTTGAGATTCACTGATTATATTTCTACGAAATAAAGATGTATAGTTGCTGTAACTATTCCTCTACCGAACCAAGTAAAAATAATTCTATAACTATTGTTCGCAAAATAAGTATTTCACAAATAATTTGATTTTGGGCTAGTTGTAACATCTACTGGGGCAAGTAGTAACGACAATAATGTCTTCACTCATTTTTAAGAAAATTGACTTATTTTTAAGTAATTCTTTTATAATTGAACGTAAACTATAATTACTACAAATAAAATATTTGTGTCTTTTGTAATAAAAATTTTACTTAAATAATTTTAATTGATATATAGAAATAGAAATAATTTTCGCTTGAATTTGTATAAGTTTCACTATACACCAGGCAATACCATTTTTGCACATTACAACTAGCCCCAAAGTTTTGTTTCAACTAATCCCATGTGTAATTTTTAACATTTCCATTTTGAGTTTAATTTTTTACATTAACTAAGATTACTATTTATATAATTTAGCAATTACAAAAATTGTTACGCAATATTAAATACTAATAAATTTGTAAAGATATCTTATATATTTAAAATTTAAAATTAGTCGATAATAATAACGCAAACCGAAATCTTGTTTTAGTACAATTTTTATTACGGACCTGCAGAGTTCTGTTTATTAACACTTATTAATAATATTAATAACCTAAAAGTATTTGTGCGTTTAGTTCATAAATATTTTTAAACAACTTTTTGTTGAATATTTATTTCCCCGTAGTCAGTATTTGCACATTTGTAGTGAAACAATAGATATTTTGAAAAATTTATTTACAAATGCTCGCCTATACCATTGTTAAGATAGACATACTTTTGAGAATTTCTTCCTCGTACATCTGGACAGAATATCGTATTTCAGTTATTTGTTTAATTGTTAAAAAATACTTTGTCAGATACTTGAGTTTTAGATGTTTCAGTGCAATGTTACATATGCAAAATTAATGAACCTAGTCGCAATTTTTACTTAGAATAAATCCAACAAATTTAAATCAATTAAACGTTTCAAAATACAAAAATCTACAAACATAATATAAATAAAATAAGTAAAACAATATTTTGCTAAAATCAAAGGTTTACTTCAATTATAGAAAAAAATGCCAACATAAATCAAAACAAACTTTATATAGTTTTAACAATATGGTCTACTTTGTAGCAGTGATGTTAATATTTTTAAATATACATACATCGTTATCATTACGACTTTATTAATTGTATATAGCTACAAATACTAAAATTGACAACATTTTTGGCATAATTTGGAATTTCAGCAAGTCCAATGACTTCTCTTACATGTTCTAATTTACGACGAGCAGTTTTGTTACCCACTAATTCTACTATCTCAAAATTAAATTTTCATTTAAAAGTTATGCAACATTAAGAAAATGTACAGAATATTTAAAATTCTATGTGAATTATGTTCAAGAAATTACCCAACAATTATCATAACTCACATGTTTGCATTTGCAATCTAACTAAATTCCAAATTGGTGTCGAAATTTATTACATTGCATTAAATCCAGTTAAGATTTGCGTAACGTTTTACTAAGATATTTTTGTTTGTTAATTGTTTCACGCGATAATTTTGAAATACTTTTCCAATTCTTCGAAGAAAGTTGGTCTCCGAGATTTAGTCAACATATTAAAATGAGCTATATCAAGTTTCAAATTCAAGGCTAAATCATTTGTTGCAACTTAATATTATATAAAAGAATCTCGTGATTGTGTGATGATTAATTCACAGGTATTGTTTAAAAAATCGCATTTAGAGAGACAGGTGATAATTGATTCCAAATGTTTAAATGGAATATTATCATTATGACTAAAATTTTATTCGTTGAATAATGATGTCATTTGATAAATAAATGTTTAAAAAGACGTCAGCGATATAACGGCAAAAATAAAACTAAAACAGAAAGATATAATTAACAATAAATACCAAAGTCGAGACGATAGTAGGTATTTAATAAGGTATTTTGACATAATTAATAATAATGAAAACACTATTCCGGCCGTTTCTCATGCTAATTAGTTCTGTATCTTAATAATTTAAAGTACATGGGGCACTTACAATTAGTTTGCTTTTAACGTTTAACAAAGTTATAGTTCAGGGCTGGGCACAAGAGTCCAGTTTGGTTTGAGAAATTATATCGTGAAAACCAAAACAAATACGTCATAACAAATAACATATATTAAACAAACAGCTATCTGACCATGTTCAGTAAAACATTAATTAGCTAATTCAAAGTTGTAAAAAGGTGTTTTTGCCGTTTTTTCAAAAATTTGTAACCTGGTCAAAATGGGGCAGCCAGGAGCCAAACAGGTCCAATATCTTTTTTCATTTTGAAGAGATTTCACGAAATAATAGCTACATAGAAGGTTTTTTTTACCCCAATTACATGTAAGGTATTATAGAGGTTATACAAAAAAACTGTAGAATCTAATTTAAAAATAACAATACATCCTATAAAACATTTAAATAGCGTAGACTTAAATATTATATTGAGGTTTTGTAAACTAAAAACAGTGTCCACAAACGAACAACGAAAGAGAATACACTTTGTTAAGGATTTTCAAACATTGCCATTAGCGATGTCGTAAGAATCAACGTAATGACTGGTTATACATCTTTTGCCCTTGACCTTGAAAACTTGTTGTCAAAATATTCTTCACTTTACTTGTTTTTGAGATATCGGTGATGGACCTTTTTGCCCGCAGGCTTTTAAGCCCGGATCTAACCTATATATTTTGTTGTGCTGAAATATTTTCAATTATTAAAACAAATATAGCAAAGATTTGACAATTGTGCTTTGGTTTTGACGTCATACTCATATTGCCATTATTTGGCACCACACACTGATGCCATTCAATAGCTCCCAAGTACATTTGTGACAACTTTTATGATGAAAATTCCGACGATTTGGAAGAACTTTGCAGACACACTTCTTATGCCAAAACATCTAATAAAAGAGCATAGTATGCGCTGACGTATAAAGCTAATATCTTCAGAAAATTCTCAAATAGTAATTCAAAGATTTTGAAAAATTACTTTCTACCCTCGTTATATCTTCTCCGCTTTTTTTGTAATAGTTTGTATCATCTGCAACCTTTTTCTGCCTTACAAAAGCCATTTAAATGTTTTAGACCACTTGATTTCGTTTTTGTCATAAAACTAGAAGCATTTCACTTTTTCATAATCATAGAAAAATTCAAGCATAACAAAACGAAAATACCATTTATATGCTAAAAACAAAAAGTATGTTGTGCGCATAAGTTATGAATATATGTACAACAAAACAACAAAAAAAATCAACTATCGCCTTGCCTGTGTAATAGTAACCATATTTTTAACTAGTCTTATGATGTATCCAACTTTTTATTTGATTGATATAGTGTGGAGCGATTATTTCATAAACAATTAAGGTATAGAATTATTTAACGATACTATTTTCAAGTAGTTGGAAAAAAATATATAACCAGGCATCTCCTTCATTCTTACGACGTTGCTATCAAGAGAAAAACGGCCATGTATCAATAACGAATTTGAGCTCTTTTATTTAATTTTTGATTCCTGAATATAATTTTGCGGTATACGTTATTTAATTATTTTAAGAGATGTATTTTCATTTCTAAGTTAGGTTCAATAGTTTGTTTTTGCATAAGCTCTATAAAAGCTTACATGTGAGTGGGGTAAAAAGGACAAACTACATCTTTACACTGACAAATGTGAACAATAAGAAAATAGTAAATAAAAAAATGCAATTTCTTAAAAAAGCAATTTTTCACGACATAAATTAAATTAATAGTTATTACAAATCTGCTGATAAATATTCCTGACAAAATACTAGATCAAGGTTTGTACAGTGTGATCTTTGTAAAAAATGCGCCCATTGAATTGGTATTTCACACGGGTTCAATGTTGCAGCTTTTATTTCGTATTATTCTCTTAAAATTAAAAATGAAACATTAGAACTGTTTGTCACACGGTTGTCCATTTTTATTCCGCGTATGGGATAAAAAGGGACAGATAATAAATTTTAGAAGAATATTAAAAAAACATGTTTCTAGTAGTTTCACCTAGGAATTAACTGAAAGTTTTACTCTACATAGTTTGTTGAATTGTTGGATACGTATTATGAATTGTGATGCACTAAGGTGATCATATTTTTTAAAGTCAAAACCGGGTCGGAAATTTTTAACTGAACTAAACCGGGGGGGTGGTGGTAATTTATCCTAGATAACTTAAATATTCTTTAAAATAATAAATGGTATTTAAGGATTCAACAGAGAACAGTTTTTTTTAAATAAATATTTTTTTTAATCAGTGTGGACTTTTAATAATAACTTTGTTATTCCATCACATGTTATTTTTACTTATGATGTTAATATATATCTTATATTTTTCGAATTGAACAAAATTCTATTCAATTTTCTTCATAATTAACTTGAAAAAAAAAAAGCACTTGTTGATAAGTCTTCATAATTTTTGTTAATTTTCGTGAATAAAGTTCTAAATTATCAATATGAGAGGCTATTTTAACCGTTTTTGGAATTTCATTCGGCAATTTGCTCATTCATAACGTGTTGTTTCAAATAATCATACTCGCTGCATATATCATTGTCAGATATCTGACGTGCAGTTGTAATTATATTATCTAATGATTGCGAAGATTCAATTTTTTCCTATACTTTTTCAAAACCCGGGACAATCTGGGACAAATGATCTAAATCCGGGAAAAATATTGATCTTGGAAAAACTCGGGACACAAGGTGGAAATCCGAGACTGTCCCGGCGGAACCGAGACAGACGTATGGTCACTTAAAATGCATTTCATTTGGATTAGACAGTATAATTACTAAATGTCAAACTGGGCCTTTGTGCTCCGCTCTACCCTAATAGATATTTTCTATATTTCAGTCGGACAGAAGTGTCTGATACTTATTACTGTATTCCTTAGCATCCGAATGGGATTCGCACGTAGTCGTTCAATAATTTTACTTTTTTTTCATAGCAATTTATGCAATAAGTACAATTAGAAACAATTGTAGACAAAACTTAATATCATGGCGTATGAAGGATAACTATCTTATGATAGCATCTTCTGTTATTATAGCATTAAATTTTATGTAAAGTCACGTAATAATTAACTACAACTTCTTTTTTCGGGCGCACGGATCAACCAACTTGAATGGTTTAAAAAACATTCGATCCTTATTGATAGGGAGACGTGCTGATTAGTTTTTGGCAAAGGCAGGTCCAGCCGTTACTGAGAGACGGAGCAAAGAGTGCAGAAAATAGAAATCGAGTTTTTGAGAGAATGGAGTATCCGATTTGAATGATCCAAAAAACATTCAATGCGTAATAATGGGGAGAAGTGGTGAATAGTTTTTGGCAAAAACAGGTCCAGCCATTTTGAAGATACAGGGCTAAATTTACAAAAATGGCAGATTTTGAGAGAACTAAACATTCGATTTGAATGATTCAAAAAACTTTCTGCTTGTGTTGACAAAACAATGGGTATGTTTTGTAAATCGAAAATAATTTAGATTTTAATTTTGATTCTGGCCAAAGTTCTAAAACTCAGTTATAAACGTTAAATAAATAATTTTTTCGAATCTTTGCGATTCAGCTTATGTAATTTTTATAGATATTAGACATTGTTACAGTATTTATAATAATCTATTTGAGAACATTTAATATTCCTCGAACATTTGGTTACGGTACGGGAAGTTCCAGCAATTTGCCTTAACACTGTTCCTACCGGGATCGGTCAAATAACCGTTTTTGATTTTTCGATTAGTATTTTTCATATCAAACGTAATTGAATCGTCATCAAACTTTATGACTTTTCCTAATATGTGAGTATAAAACATTTTTCAATGTTAATTTGTATTTTGAATTTTTATTTTTGGAAAAAAAATTGTATACTGTACGAAAGACGAAGTTCGGTCATTTTTTGTAGTTTTTGTTAAGAATATGATCAAACTTATAAAAAAATGTAAATTAAGAAGAATTTAGAGTGGTAAAAACTACCTTCTGCAAATTTATATGCATTTTTTCAATTTTGTTGCACGCTGCGCAAATGAGGCAAGGAGTATAAATATTGCACTTCTACGGTATAAAAAGTGAGTTTTCTCATTTTTGCTCAATGTCTATGTGTAGATAAATTTTTACGAAGGAATCCAAACAACAAATTGATAGGTTTTGTTTTGAATCCAACGGTTGGTTCAACTACATTGACAGCAATCAAAATTGTTGTAAAAGACCACGTATTACTATCGACAAACTTATATTTTTAAGAAAGGTAAGGTGTAAACTTACTCACCACATGTTCAATAATATTCAGGAAAACGTATAAATTTTAGTAACCGTTCAATATATGATGTAAATATAATTATGCCCATCAAATCGCACAAATAGGGTGTAAAGTTTTGATAGCCATCCAGTATACGTAGCAAACTGAGAATTTCTTTAAAGATTTATAACTAATGAAAACGTATTATCAAAATCGCTAACACGATGTAAAAAATATATAACGTTTTTACTATCCTACATATAGCTAAACTTTTAGTAAAACAAAACTGATGGTAGGTACAATTGAAGCAATATAACCGCTATAAATACTGGCAGAACTAAAAATCAAGGACTTCAACACTCAAATAGTATTTACAATTTTTGAAGATAAGAAAGAAGATTCTAATTTTCACTTACATACACATATGTTGAAATTACACTAATACGGGAGTTAATTCAATTGGTATTAGCGTCGGGACTGGCGTAGATGTCATTTTAGAGAGAATTCATCAAGGATATACATTATTTTGGATTTATTCAGGATAAATCCATTGTTGTCACATAAAGAAATTACGGGAAGACAATGTACAGGACAGGAACTTTCTACTCCAATTAACATGCAGTATAGTTGCAACAAAAATTAAGAAAAAAATCAATTAAGTACAAGTACAAAACATATTCCCTAAAAGAAAATATTCCAGATAATGCTTCAGAAAGATGGATAGGACAAACAAAATCAGCCAAAAACGTAAAAAATGCGCGTGCAGAAAATACACTCTAAGAAAAAAAATCGTGAAAAAATTGGATAAAACAGTATAAAATGTAGATTTTGCATTCTAAAATAAAAGAAATATATTGTATTTGTATTTATAAACTCTTAAACCAGCATTAACTCTTCATTCAATACTGAAAAATACCGATTTTGCATGACCGGTCATTTGACCGGTCGCGGTAGGAATGGCAAATGAAATGTCGGTAGGAATAGTGTTAAGGCAAGATGCCATACACCGCTAGTTTTACTTTACTATTGGCTGCATAATTTAACATTTATTAATTATAAATATAACTTACATAGTTCCTTTGGCAACAGTCATGTTGAGATTAGACAACACGTTATTTGGTTTGCTTTTCGAGCCATAGTGTTTGAAGGCATGCCTCACGCTGACCGCGTGCTGCCTCCGCGACCACGCCGAGCTCGCGTCCGGATTTGCGTCCGGGGCACCCATCGGACCATCACTGTAAATAGTTAGATAGATAAGTAATTAATTAATCAATCGGTTATTATGATATAAAATAATTTATTAGCAATTATTTACGCAGAAATAGAATAAAAGTGATTGTTGATTGCGATAATTAATTTATTTATTGCTATTGTGACGTAGAAACATTTTATTGCAGTTTTAATTGTTATTATTTGTTTTATCGTTTGTTTCACAATACTTTATGAGTAGACTATTCTCGAAAAGATCGCACTCATACCCTGTCCTCTAACAACAATATAAGTGAACTAAAACCGAAATGGTTTATTCAGTTTGAACAGCAATATTAACTAGGACAGCTAGGGGCTGGTTGTGACTTTCTTATTAAATTAATTTATCTTGAGATCCACTGATTATATATCTCAGATATGAAGATAGATAATTACTGTAACTATTCACCTACCATTCTATTATTAATTATTTCAATTAATCATTTTCTAGAAAAAGTTTGATGTTACAGCTAACCCCGTATTTGGGGCTAGTTGTGACGTCCAACAAGTCAAGTAGTAATGACAAAAAAACGGTAGTAATACCTCTGATAATTTATTCTTTACATATTTTTAAGAAATTTGACATGTTTTCGAGTAATTTTCTTTTTGTAAATAAACGCAAATTAATAAATTATATAATTATAAATTTTTATCATAAATTAACGTAAACTACAATTTATATAATAGTACAAATAAAAGATTTAGTGCCTCCTGTAACGTAATTTAATTTGATTACACCTTACAAACAAAAACTTCAATCTGTATATAATTCTTGTATGTTACAACTGGCCCCAAGGTTGTGTTTAAACCAACCTCAGTTGTGATTTTTTTTACATTAATCACGAAAAATATTTAAACAATCTAATCATTACAAAAATGATCACACATTATCAACGATTGATAAATTCGAAACTCAATAAGATATATATATATATATATATATATATATATAATTTAAAATTAGTCAATAATATTAGCGCAAACCGAAGTTTCATTATAGATCAATTTTATACTAAATGACGGACCTGCACAGTTCTGTATATTGCGACGGCCTGTTGCACAATAGATATGACAATATTATGCATGATGGTTTACATGTCCAATGAAGACAAAAAATATTTTAATTAATCCTTATTAAGTATTATAATAAATATTAGTAATAATTAAAATTCTATTACTAAAATCTAATCTAATCCATTAAAATGAAAACAGCATATGTATACATTAATTTGTTACAAAAATTATATAATAAAAGTATAATTAAAATCTTCATTAATTTTATTATTCATAATTTTATTCAATGCGTCATTCGTCGTCACAATCGCGTCAAACGTCAACAAATTTCATTAATAGTAATATCAATTATTTTGTTTATTATAGATCTCAGCTCAATGCAGCAATGTTCTAAAAATTTAAAAATATAACTGAAAAAATAATTTACAGCTTATGCAGATCATTTTTTTCTTGAATCTTGTCTGTACATGAATGTTGGTTCGATGACTTGGACATATTTACGATAAACGTTTACCACTTTTGACATATACTAGAATTTATATAAATAATAGAATATATAAGGTTGTTAACTTTCTATTTGTATGCAAAGATGTTTCATGTAGATTGCATATAGTGATAATAAAATGCGAGGGAGGAATATTAAACGGAAAGAATTTTCAATGTTGATTGATCATCGGAGCTTATATTAGTGTTATTTTTATATTAACCACTAACCATATTCAATTGCAAATATATTTGCACATTACCCAGAGGCAATGGGAAGTAAATATGTTTGCAAATTACTACTATTTTCTACAAAAATAACTTAATAGATCATTTAAGTGAAACCTAATAGTCATTTAAGGTAAAAAGGGCATTTTAATAATCATGCTGAAGACTTGCTAGATTGGAGATTTTGTCGTTTTGACAAAATATGTATACTGTGTCTAGTGTAAAGGCAACTTCCACTGCAATATACTTTATCAAAATAAATTATTTGAAGAAAAATTCATTTAGAAAGTATAATATATAAAGGTCTTTGAGTTATAGACAAGGCCGGCATGTGGTCTACGTGAATATATTCAGCAACTTCTGGTTCAACAGTTTTTTCTGATATATTTTTGTGCAAAATAATAAAGGCCAATTATGATTATATTATTGAATTAAACAAAAAAAATCGTTATTGTTAATCGTCGTTATTGGTGATCATTAATTCTTTTTATAAACAAATTTTGCCAAGAATATTCTTGCGGAAGAAAATAGATTATATATTAGATATATACTAATTTTTTGTGCCAATTGTCTAAAACTTAACGTCGACGCCACTCATTATGTACAAAATTTTCACCGACCATTATTTCATAAATATTGCACCTCGCTAAAATGTTTCTCATTTTCAATTTTAATCTTCTTTTAGACTAACTTTTCATATTATGTATGTGATAAATATATTGATGACTTGGATTTTACACTAAATGACACCATCAACATCTAAAAGTCGACAAGTTAACCTTTTGTTCGATTTTATTAACGTGTAATTGAAGTTGCTGTATATGATTACGGACAATTAACTGGTCGCTTGTAAACAAATGCTAAGTAATAGATTCATACGAATCAAGGATGGGTAATTGATAGTTCTCATAAATCAATTTTTTTAAAAAATTGTATAAATTTAAATTGGTTTTCATGATAATGGGTGTAATAATCTGAGCAGATCCGATATCTCAGGTAAAATATAGAGAAATTTTATTGTAAAAAAAATTCCGTTGTGTTTGTACATCGCAGTGCTCAAATGAGTTTTTTCTTCGATGAACCATATTTTTAAGTGAAACTGGATTTCACATAGATTTTAACTGAGTACCTTGTAGTCCTTGTGCACCACGGATTATTTAAAAAAAATAATATTTTGTAATACAAATTTGCTGTTTTAACTAACTAAATAATTTGTAGTACGACATCAAGAAATGTGTGATCAATTTAGAACTACTTAATATATTTTGTATTAGTTGTATTAGTAACTTACAATTACTATTTAAGGTAGCTCGATTCGATTCCATTTAATAATCTAATTAGAATTTTTTCACCAAAATAAAATTTAATTAATTATGAAATAAAAATATGAATTCTATGTTTAAATAATAATTTACAATATTTATATCCGATTCGCCTTAATAACGTATGGCATTATTATTGTAGTTACTATTTTTTAAATAAACATGCTTTTATTATCTACCAGAACCTGTGACTAGGAATAAATCATTCAAAATGTTCTAGAAGCTGTAATTAATACATCTATCATATAAATATTTTTATACAAATCAACTTCAATAACCCGAGTAATCTGACAATAATAAGCTAATGTGTTCGAAATGATCTTCAACACGGTTTTGATTTTGTAACTAGTGGGTCAATGCTATTCGATCAAAATTTGAACAAAATTATTCAAAACTCCTTCAAAAATATTCAGAGAAAAGTTGAAAAATATTTAATGATATAGATATTTGAAATGTATTGTATAATTTCTAACATATTTTTATAAGGCTCAATCCCGAATATTGGACATTATTTTAGACATTCTAAGTACTACTAAAAATTTGCTGATGTTCTTTATAGAATGGGTGCAGATATTTAAAAAAGGGTATATTTGATATGATTTAATTAAAATGTTCAACAATACGATTATGCTAAACCAACTACGCTTTTGCTTATGCTATGAATTCTGAAGATTTGGCAATAGATAACTTAAGATTCTTGAAAACCATCACTTTCTTGGCCATTCCTGATCCGTACATTTATATTGGCGTCCTTGGGTCATGATTCATATCATCCATGGAAACGATCAGACTAGCCGTGATGTGAGGCGAACGACCTTTGATCATATCGTCATTGGACTGAATTCGACAAGTTTTCTATACGACGATGACCAAGGTTTACTTCTCATATCTTAGTTGGGCAATTTGTAGTTTTAACTCCTTCCAGTAAATGTTCAATAGCTACTTATTTGAATTACGCACTGATGGAGGTAAACGATTAACATGAAAAATATGAGTACGAGTGGATCTCGCACGCTCTATGCCAGGTTATGCATTTTTAATTTTATAATTTCTTAAATATATTGTGGGGCATAAAATGTACTATTCAAACACTTTTCGATGCAAACAGAATCTGACCAGAAATTACTTAGATATGGTGATCATTTTAGAAAACAAATCCAGAAATCTTTGGAAACAGTTCAGGATCCACAGTTCATGAACGTCATGGGTTATTTGGCTTTCATCCAGAGTTCTGTTGAGTTAATGCCAGTCATAGCAAAAATTAATAAATCTAGTCTAGAATAAATTCACAGAATGCTTACAAAGTACAAATCAACGGAACGAATGGATTCCACGATAATATATATCCGTTCACATACTTATGACGAAAGTCTGTGATATTTGCAAAGATATGAAGAATTTGTTCTTCATATTAAATTAAAGATATGAAGTATTGATATTATGTTAAATATTTCCTGAAGAATTTTCTAAATTTGCATTGGTTTGCAGATAGATTTTGGATCCAAACTTCATAATAATACTTATAAATGCACCTTGCATAATGAAATAAAATTGGTTATAATGTGTGCCAATCTGCATTTCTCCTATCAATAATAATAGATAGCTTGAATATGCAAAGGCACATAAACAATTTTGTGCAATAAAAATGAATAATTCTGGTTTAAACTGTTTACTCTTATTTCATTTCACACATAGTTTTTAAAATTATTAGATAAACATTATATCTGTATTTAGTATATAACCATCATTCACTATTCACTTACAACAAAAACTTACTTACATGCACATCTAATAGAGAAAGTATTTAAGTATTTTCTGATCAAAATAGACCAAACTATTTAAATTTTGTTAATTCTAAATGCTTATTAACCTTTCAAGTGGAAAATTATATGTTATAGACATTTACAAATAATACTTCATAGTATTATCTCAAATTATTA